AGGATGARCTGCAGGAGAATGGAGAAACAAGAAACCGATCAAAAAGGAATAGAAAGTGAGGCTAAACAACAGGGAGAAAAGGAGAAAGAACAAAAATGCCAAGCAGGGAAGTCAGAACTGGCAATATGAATTCTATGCATGATGATGATGTACTCAGTGATATTTTCAATGAACATATTAAATTTAAGACAAAATCCCACACCACCCAGTTCTGGAGTACACAGTACTTTTCATCAGTCCTTTTTAATAAGGAAAAACACCATTTACAGAGTAAGAAAATCCATACCAGATGAAGAGCTGAACACCTTAAATGGTGCTGGAACAGAAAGACTTCCTGCCACGTGTATTCATAGCAAAGTGTATCAGCTGTACAAAGAAACTTGACATACATGATTGTGTTTTGTTAGAGCTTTCTTTGTGTTATTGGCTTTTTTTTTTGTTGTTGTTTTTGGAGGGGTTTTTTGGTGGTGTTTTTCAAAACATGAGGCGAATGTGTGACACCCTGAGGTCCCCATGTTATCTGCAAGCCCATCACCTCTCTTTCTGGAAAGAGTCCCAGCTTCCATAGTGCTTCAAGGTGAATCTTTTCAGTGAGGGAACAYATGGTTGCTAAGTCTCTTGTGAAAGGATCTGTTAATTTTACAATACAAAGGATGCTAATTTTACAGTGCTAGGTTACACATCTGGTACGTTTAAAGGCAAATGCTTATGCAGCTTATAAATAGGCATTGAAAGCACTTCCTTGCTAGAGTGCATATTCTGTTCCTTGCCTTATCTTAGGTCCTCCAGATGCTGGATTCAATTCCAGTGTAATTCTTGTGRCTGATGTTGCATCAGTCATGGGGATGCTGTTAGAAAAGACTGAGACATACAATGAGAAGTAAGACACCTCAGTGTACTGCCTCCCATTTCTGAAAAGGATAAAGTGAATAAAATAATTTTTCTGAAACACACCTTAAGGCTCTTACAAGTTATGGTCAAAATAGATCACCTGTTCTAACAGCAACACCTTGTGAATCTATTTGAAGAATGAGCAAGAAAAAGGGAAAGATTTGCAAGCTTGACAGAGTAGCTGAAACAGCAAAACACCTAAGGAGGAATGGAGACAGCCAAGACAGATGATACCTGAGTGAAGCAGGAGTCTGGTATGGAGAGACAACAGGAGAAACACTCACGGGGAAAAGCTTCCTATCTGGAAACAGAATGGACTTCTTGCTCCTAAGAGGAAAAATTAAAAAAATAAACAATGACTTACTGAAGAGACTTCCAATTACGTTGGCGAGGAAATTCAGCTAGCCATTCTGAGGACAGCAAAGTGCATCAGGTGAAGAAGACAGGAAACAGACTGAATTAAATTAGCAGGAATTAAAAGAACCCAAGAGCAGAGTGCTTACCCACCAGCTGCAAAAGGCAAGAATAAAGGGAAGGCAGAGCTTTGGCCAAATGAAATGTTGACGGATATTGAAGCAGCGTGAGAAGCAACAGCAAATGTGGCAATCAATGCTAYCATAAACCTGTGTAACTGAGAATAACAAAGAGGAAGCAAGGCAGGGATCAAGCCAGGAATAAGGAGGGAAATGAAAAAGGGAAATGAAATCTGTCATAGTAAGAGGTACGGTAAAAGCTTCCAGCAGGGTTTTGTACAGTCCATGTCAAAAAGCTGCAGCAGTGCCATTGGCTTCTGCATGAAGGCACTGGCACTTTCATCTAGTGTTTCCTCTGAGTTCCCTCTGCTCTCAGCATTGTGCAAGCATATATACATTTCTATTTTTCCTGGCCCTGCCCTTCTCACATCCTCTTTTCACTAAGACCTCCTTGCTCTTCTAACAAAACTTCTATGACTCTTCCACTTGCAGTGTTGCAAGACCCCTGGCAGCGAAGAATGTGCTGGTTTATCAMAAAAAGGTCTTGTCAAATGTAAATGCTGAAGATAAAGGGCTTGAAGGATCTTATATAATGGCAAAAAAAAACATCTCCACTTTCGGATCAACTAGGGAATTGAGTTCTTACTGAGCTGGYTGTTCCCAAGGAGACTCCCAAGTAGGATGGTGCAGTAAAGACAATACAAGGAGCAGTTCATTTACAAGTATCCCTTACAGCAACTGATTTAAGACCAATCTAGAACATTTCTGAAGAGCTGAAAACTCAATCAATACTACTTCTGTTGTTCTGCTATTGTGACAAGAATTGCTCCTTTAAATTGTCTGTGAAATAAAGTGCTGCGCTACTTACCTAGCTATCTACAGCCAGTAGCTGGAATATCTTCAGGATTTACACACCTAGTAGCCAGCTCTGCTGGGACAATAGTGAAGCACACAAATCTGAGTTCCAGCCCAGGTCTAGTGGAGTCCCCGCTGGCATAGCCTTCTGTCCGTAGCATTCAAAAGGCAATTGSTCTTCCAGAGGTGGCTGTATGAAAACAATGGTCCATTTCACGTGAAAATCTGTGCCCTCTGTGTCTCCAAGTCAGATTTGTTTCCTGAGAAAAGCTATTTTACAGTGCCAGCTGTATGACAGTCATTACAGCAAGAGGAGAATTGGAAACTTTGCCATGCTTGGTAATTTGGACCCCATCAGGCCAGTATAAATTCAACTTTTTGCTATCATTGGGAGAGACAGAAAAGAGACTGATTTTCCACATCTTATGTCACAGACTGCAACAGCAGTCAGTCTTTATCTATAATAAGTGAATAARACACCTATTTCCACACAGCAGCTCTCACATTTAAAAGAACTTCAGMTATTTTATTTAGTTCAAGAACAGCAAAAACATGCTGAGATCAGAAGTAAATGGGCACATATGCTACACAAAAAGTCTGCATGTTTGATGAGAAGCAATGCAATGTATTCCCAAAGGTACTTAAAAATAGCCTTTTATTTTTATAGCAAAAACGGTGCATTGGTAGAGCTTGTACACAGTCCCTGTGCAGATCTTAAATTATTCTGTTTGTGTGAATTAAAGCATACGCATCACACTCCACTTCACAATCTTTAACTATCATCACTGATGCTACATACGTCAATAAATGCCCAGGGAGCCATATGTTAAGATCACGTTCGTGTAAATCCATTACAACTCATCTGCTTTAGCATCATTCTGGGGTCACAGAGATCAGTATCTTTCAGCAGATTTTCCTCCCTCCCCTCTCTCTTTCTTCTGACTGTTTCATAAGCTTTTGTAAGCATCCCCAGATATTTGAAGAGCAACAGATATAAAAGAACACAAGAAATTGTTTCTGCCTCCATCTGGTAAAATAACAAGCTTTTCTTTAAAAGGCACAGGCTTTGACAGAAATATTCACATCCCTCACAGGTTTTGTTCCTACATATCCTAACAGRTTCCTTTGTAAAGAAAGGGAACTTTTATATAGAGTATTTGGATGCATGAAGAAGCCCCTGCCAGAAAGACTTCATGTGGCTTCCTTGTAACTCCTTCCCGGTGGGAAAAGATTAATAAATAACACAGAACCGCTATCAGAAAGCAAAGACATCTTCTCCGATCAGAAAAACACTGTGGATTTTTTTTGTTGTTGTTACGAGATAGAGGAGGAGGGGGCAATCTACTTCTGTCTATAAGTTTGGAACTGCTTCTTGCCTGTTATTTACTATTTTCACATTCAACCAGCAGCSAATCCTACAAGGAAAGTTGCAGCTGATGGAATCACGGCCACGCCACGGGGCACCATCCTGCCCTGCGAGCCGCTCCCGCCTCCCTCTCTTCCAGCTTCTTTCGCGCCCAGTGAGCAAAGCAAAGCACCGGGGCCCAAGCGAGCCCCGCGTGATTCCGCGCATAGATTGGGACCTGCACTCCTCTTTTCGGGGAAGCAAATATCCTGTCGCACCCTGTTACCGTGGCTCCCGGGGCAGCATGCATCCCGCCCAGCTGCGGGCGCTCCYGCCCACCTCCTCCGCCGGAGGGACCTCGCCACCTTTCCCTGACAGCCCTCAGGAACACCGCATCCTCGCATGGTACACCATTTACTCCCGGTAGCGCTGCTGTGTTTGGTACRAAGGCGCTGTCCCCACGCCGAGGAGCTGCGGGCGCTGCTGCCCGTCCCCGCTCCCCACTCCCAGACACCGCCGGCCGCCGCCTCGCCGGGGCGGGAGGGACCCTCCTGAGGAAACACCAAGTTTCCAGCTCAGGAGCGGCGCAGCCCTTCCCCTCCCACGCCGCAARCCTTTCCCGCGGTCCCACAGAAACTCTGGTTTACGGAAAGCAGACACTCGGGCTCACACCCGCCAGCCCTCTCCCGGCGCCAGCCCGCACCKGACCCCGAGAGCCGCCGGGGCCCCGGCCCTTCCCCGGCACTCACCGCGGCGGCCAAGGGACGGAGGTCAGGGGAGGAGCCCACGGGCGCTTCCCTCACCCCCCTCCCGCCCCACACACGGTCTCTCCTCCCCAGCGGGAAGCGGCTCCTCCCCACGCAGGAATGGCTGGCGGCTTCCCTTTCACCCATACCGCCTTTCCCTCCGCACCCGCCCGGCCTCCTGCGAGAGGGGCCAGGGCTCCCTCTGCAGCGACCATTTCCCTCAACGACTCATCAAGCACTTCCCCAAGGATACTGCCAGCGTGTTGTTTCTGTTTTCTTCACCCATTTAAAGTATCCGTTTAGAAGTTTAGAAGCTGAAAAGCGCAAAGGTGCAAGGTAAGMGCAAAAAGAAGTGGTGGTGCTGATAAAAGAGGAGCGCGTTCATGCATAGTTTTGCGCTCCCTATTGACCTTACACCCACTTGAAAGCGCAAACAGACAATGGAGGCTTCGGCTGCATTCCCACATCACCAGTTTTCACTTACATGAGGAGAGCAGGCTGCCCACGGAGGTCRTGGAGTCTCCCTCTCCGGAGACATTCYAAACCCACSTGGAYTTGTTTCTGTGTCACCTGCTGGAGGTGACCCTGTGGCAGGGTGTTGGGACTGGATGATTTCCAGGGGTCCCTTCCAGCCTTTACAATCTGTGAATCTGTGATAYTCCTGAAGGCATTGAACAGGCACAGCAGAGGTTTGGTAATCAGTTTTATTTACTCAAACTAGACTGTGCTAATACAGAAAGTACCATGTTTTACAGCAGTCACAGTGCCCAACTCTGGAAACAGTCATATTACATCAGGACAGCACCTACACATACCTGGCAGAATTTATAGAAAACATTTTATACAGACGTGGTCAGTCTGTTACTTTAACATTTGTTTATCTAAGCAGTCACACAGTGACATCAATTATATCTTATACCCCTCTGTACATCAAGAGAAAAAAATACACTGTAGAGAAGATAAGCCAAAGCTCAGTGATTTGACATCTTCCAAGTTGTCAATTTTTCCTTATGCCCCAYAGGCTAACTGCAGGGGTTGCCAAGTACCATGAAAATAAATACTGTTACAAAAGCTTCCAGTTTTGTATTGGATTGTCAAAGCTGTGGGGAGAAAAAACCAAAAAACCACAAGAGGGCAAGTCTGTTCCTCTGGGGTTTAACAGACAAACAAAACCACAGAACAAATGTGCTAGTACTCAAAGGATTTCTGATTTTACTGGACATGACACCAAGGCCAAGATGGACACAAAAGCCAGTGAAAAAGGTAATTTTAAAACGCTTGGAGACATCAAAATAAAATGAATTGTTTAAAAACCTCTTGGTTACAGCTAACCACTTCACCTATTACGATCACTAGACATTGAAAGGAGGAAGCTATGATTGTTTGATAGAGATCCTTTGCTGAATGTTGTCTCCAGSCCTAGGCTGCCTTTTGGACTTACACTTAAAAACATGGAAGGAGTTAAAAAAATACTACTTTTCTTTCTTTGCTAACTATATAAAYAGGAACAGGAACTCCATAGCCTCAGATAGGTTGGGCTTTAAACCATTAGGAGAAGTAGCAGAGAAAAAGGTTTAGCCTTAAGAGTTTTAAGTTTACCTCACATCTAACAAATCTAGTCATCTGCACAAGCTTTAAAAACAGAGGGCCTGATCCTGCAGCCTTTAGTCCTCAAAAAGCAACAGGTGCCAAAACTCATGAAGCTGGCCTTTTTCTTTTAAAAAGATCAATAAACTGGACGTGAAGCACAAATTTGCATGAAGCACTGCATGACAATTATAGAAAGATAATTACTAAATCTGCAAAAACTTCAGCATGTACTCAAGCTATACATACAAAGACAAGTTACCAATGTCAGTGTGTCTTCAGGCTGCAAATTTTGTCTAATGGTGTACTGTAGATGCACAGCAAACTCATCTTCTCTTGGTAAACAGAGAAACTGCTGATCAGCACAGTGTGGAGAGGTATCTAAATCAAAGTGAATGGCCAAGCAAATGGAGAGTTATTCTATGCAGAATTTATTTTCTCTGCTTTAATAGAAGCTTCAATCTCCTCCATGATTGGCACMGGTCCTGCATAGTTATTAGTTTCAATAGCTTCTAATTTCTCCTGGTAATCACTTGGCAAGCCATTCTGTTTTGCACCCATGCAGATAACCTATAATTAAAAGGGGGGAAAAAAAAGTCTTCAGTAATAGAAAGGACAGACTCCTCCARACAATCACTTGTATAGGAAGTTACCCAGAGAATTAACTTCAAACAGCTCTATTTACACCTAAGGATAGCCAAAGGCTTCTGGGAGACCATAGAAGACCAGAACATCATGAACAAAATTACTCTGAAAAGGCTTTTAACTACTGCTTAGATTCTGATGTGTTACTAAAGTGCACAAGACTCTGTAATTAAGCTATTATTCATTTATTCTCTTCTTTCTTCTAGAGAGGATGATAATTATGTTTTAAACCTTTAGCCAGCTTTAGTGTCACACCTGAGTGAGAAGCAATGTATATTACTGAAGTTACTTTTAAAACTAAGCTGTTCAAATCCAAAGGACAACAATGAGTACCTAGACAGGGTAYAGGAGAAACAGAAACAGACCCTTAGTGAAAAAGCACAGATTCCTTAGTTTGTAACTGCAGCTTTCCTTCMAATATACAAAATAAACTGAAGTACTGGTGTGGAAGAAAAGATGTGACAGAAAGGAAAAGAAGAAGCTGTAGGAATATGGCTTGAAGGAGACACCAGCAAGCTTGCATATAAAAATGAAAATTCTAAATATGTTTTCATGCATTTAACAGGATGCATTTCAAGGATGAGGTGTCAATCCTTGCCACATTTCTGCCACAAAAAGTCCGTAACAGTAGATGGATGTAGTTCAATCATTGTGTGCTGATGCAGACACCTTTTAAGTTTTTATCTTTCCTGCCTGGTTAACGTGAACAAAAAAAAAGCTGAGGGCAGAGGAGAAGAACAGAACTAACAACTGCTCCCGAGAGGACCAGGAGGGAATGGTAAAGTTGCCAATAGTGCAGGTCTGCTCTTGCAGCATACCAATGAGAGCTGACACATACCAATGTGAGCTGACACACAGCAGCAGACTACGTATTAACTCCCTGAAAAGCCCTGAAGATCTGCCTTGCCACGAGGTGTGTTTGCAGGGAGGTTTGTGGAATAGCAGAGCCTGCTTTCTAAGTCCTCTCTTGAGCAGTCCCACAGCAGCTGACCTTAGCTGTGCTCCTGGAAGCCGATTCATAGGAGTGAGTTCCTCAGCTATGAGAAGGCGGCACACCTGGGATTTAGCAGGGTCACGCCTGTTTCTTTCCTTTAGGTAGAAGCAGCCAGCTGCAGTGATGTCTGTGTCCCAGCACCAACAGCTGCACCAGTCAGACACGCAGCCACACCACCCCAGCCTAGGCCTGCACAAGTTCTCACAAGCTAAGCAGGTCAGTCCTGCTGCGTGACTGGATCATGTGTCTCTACAGAGTCAGCATTGCAGAGCAGTGTTGAAACACTTCTGCCTCACCAGCCGTCAAGGGGGAGTCCTGCAGTGCTCTGCAGTGCTGCTGGAGTCCYGTGATGTACTGATGATGCATCTGGGAAAAGGCAGCAGGTGGACTCCTGTATTAAGTGATAGCAGGTACTTCCCAAGACAATAAGGATAATCCACATCCTTGAACCTACAAGCGAGGTGCTGTATTTTCTCCACACCAGCTTTCCTCTGTCCTTTTAGTGGAGCATATTAATTTTTCAGAGAATTGCTGCATATATGTGAMCAACATCCTACAGAAATCTTTGTGTCAATTGTAACTAACTCACGAGTTAAATAGGGGCTTCACGTAAGGCATAACTAAAGCAAAAAACTCAAACTGTTTTAGTAGCCCTGTAAGAGTTAGCAATCTTCTGTGAGCATTATTACGTAGTACATTGCACAAGGACTGTTGTACATTTCCAGTAGTCATGCCTTCCATTCCATTGTAATTCAAGTAYTTATTAAATAGCACAGAATTACTGAATTAGAATTTTCTGCCAAAATTAAAGTGATGCAATACCTACCTTTTTATACTGTGGAGAAGGRGGACCAGAGACATAGTCCCTCATTTGGTAGCTTCGACAGGTCAGTACCTGGCCTGCTTGAGTGTGGACATTAACTTCTATTGGGACGTAAATGCCATCCTCAACTCCCTCTTGCCTGTAAAGGACATACATATTCCTTTCATGTAAAATAACAAATACATCTTTCAAACCAACCATGCAATTAAACACACAGATTTATTATAACAGAATTCAAGGCAGGACACTGGTCTTTGTWAAAGAAAAACAAATAAAGCAAAACATCATTCAGTACTTTTGTGCAARCCTGTTTCATATAAAAAATAAATTTCTAGAGAAGCAGCAGCATTTATTTTTATAATTTCAGCTCTGTAAGAAGTGACTCAGGGTTAACTTGCATAGTTAGAAAGAGAATACTCCTAAACTAATTACTGTGGAAGACAGGTAGTCTGAAAAGAGAAATACAAGCAAGATTATCAGAATTAATGAGSCAGACACATGTTCATTACCTGCCACTCAGATAAACAACTGCTAAGTTTTATCTTGCCCATTGTGTTACATTTTAATAAGGGGAAACTCGCACAACTTGTGCAATGTACTTTACAATGAATAATCAAAGACACCTTTTAACTTGCACAAGACATATACAGCAGTTATATACTGTAGGTCAGGGCAAAAAGCTTTTTTTTTTTTTTTTTTATTAGCAAAATCATGCTTAGGAAAACAAAAACTCAAAACCAAGGCTACTTATAATCCTTAACCACTGGTATTTAGCCACCAATAAAAATCTGAGGAAGTCATAAGAAGTAAATGAAAAACTTAAGCAACACAAAAGACTTTATAGCACAATTACTTTAGATGTACTTTAGCTACAAGTCATAACATGTTTTTAACCCTGTTTGTCCAATAAAAATTTGACAACTCATCTTTTTTTCAAAGACTTTCTACCATTTCAAGTTATTTAACATACATAATGTGGGCCATGTTAGGTGAGTAACTAGGTTAAGTGCAAGTACAGACTGGAAGCTAACTGGAGAGTCTTCAACAGACTATAAAATAAGTCACATGGTTGCATGAAAGCAAGAAAACTGTTTAACAACATCCATTGCTAGATTCTGTGTGGAAAAGTCATTATTTAGTCTGTAACTTATAGATTTGTGAAGTGGCTATGGGACCAAAAATGAATTTGAAGCCAAAGAGTTCAGCCATCTAAGCAAAAGGTTCCCCTCCCATATTTGTTTTCTATATATTACATTGTTTTATTAGTATTACAACTAATTACATGCAGCATCAATTACATATTCCCTCCTCTGCTTCTGGATAACAAAGCACAGACTACTTTACCCAGATTAGGAGGGAGAAAATAAAAAGGGGTTGAGTATTTATTTTCTTTTTTTTTTTTTTTTTTTTTTTTTTTTTTGATACCTGGTAATTTCAGGCAATAACTTGGTTGAGAACCTACAGATATAACAGCTTGCATGCAGCCAAAGAATCCCAAGGAACATGTGCAAGCTCATTTGAGTTGGTTAGGAGCAATGCTTAGAAGAGAACTATTGACTATCACTATGAAAGCCAAGAACACATCCCATTTCCTTCCAGTTCACCTCCATGGCACCAGTGAGGCAGCTGTGAAAAAGTACTCTGTAGTGCTAGTGTGCATGCTGCAGTTTTTGGTGATGTTACAGCACTCAAGTCTCTAGCACCTTAGCAAGCAGGTTTATACTAGGGATTTGGAATCCTACACTATGTCAACTATAAGAAGTATGTAAACACTTCTAGAAGCCAAAATACAAAATACTGTCCCATGGAGGGGGAACATGGTGCTCCTACCAAAAGCAGATGCTGTCATACTTAGGAAGTTTACACTTTAGGATAGCACAGTAAATCAGGAGATTTCAGTAAAGGTCAGCAGAAGGGGGTTAGGACATTTAAGTGTCACTGTAAGCAACAGCAGTGCTTTTGCTGAGCAGGAACTCAGCAGATCATAAAGCAGGGACATGTGAAGTTGTCCCCAACCACAAGCATGCCAACTAGATGCCATGCCCTCTTGCTTGGGACTAACACACCCAGTGAGGACTACAGTGCTGAGAGTGGCCATTCCCAWAATGTGCTAACAGAATTTGGGCAAGTTTCTGTTGTATTTCAGGCTCACCACAGGCAATGAAAAGCACATTGGAAACAAGTTTCAGGGCCAGCATTGTAAGGACATGYTTACACAGTGAAATTGCAACAGTACCAGAGGCAAGAGAACGGTATCAAGGTAGTGCTTTCACTGGGTTTACTATGCTCTGCTTCCTGGTCCTCACTAGCCCAGATGTCTGCTGGAAGTGACAGTGATGAACTGCTCTCAAGAAATGATCCTTGTGTACCAGAAGCACCATGCTGTACAGGCACATCTCAGAAGATGCAACAAGCATACAGCAGCAGACAAAGTCTGGAGATTACATTCTAAGTCCTGTCTCAGACTCTGCAAGAAGTCATGCCATTCCTTGCTTTGTTCACCCAGCTGGTCTCCCAGACTTCAGCCTAGGAGCAACTTGCTCAGGTGCCTTGAACCTCTCTTAAGTTACCAGTTAGAGTAGAACTTTCTCCACCATGCATTCTAAAGGTGCAGTCAGGCTCTCCYATTCAAAGGGGGAAAAATAACACCCGAGCTCCCTGCTTGGATGTTCCTCAAGCTCACAAATTTAAATCCTTAGAAGAGAAGACATGTTAAATAACCTCCTCAGAAGGTCCCTTTTCCTGTATTAAAGATCTCCTTCTCTTCTGCAGTCTTGTCCTCATCCCTTCCTTTTCTGCAACAACTGGAGTCTACAGATGTATATAGACAAAAATTTATGTCACTCTCAAACAAAATTCTCACAAAAGTAATGGAAAAAAATGCCATAGGACAAACAYAGATTTTAGAATAATTTAAGAGACAGGAAATTAGGAAATGAGGTTAAAAAAGCCAAAGGAACCTGACCAATATATTAGCTTCAACTAAAGGTCCACAGATGGTTAAAATACCCATAAAAGTAGCTTTAGCTTGAAAATGAACCCATTTTAATCACAGAAGTRTCAGAAGTCAATACCGATACTGTGAAATGGAATGCACATATTAAAATCGAAAGCATCTTCTTGATTCCAACACCAAAGCTTCCWCACAGCTCTTTACCAAAATTTAACTACTACTTTTCAATARKTCTCTAAAGTAGTAGAAGACAGCARAAGTTAAGTCACCTACTTATCCAGSGAACTTAAATTGCAAGTGTTCATTTTCCACACTATTCCCCATACTTCGTCGCCAGGGCTCTGAGCAATGGTAGCTGTACCTCCATGCCAGACRGAACTTATCCTGCCTTGATGATGGCCAAACTCGAGCTTAAAATCCTGCAAATGAAAGCAACACRGAGAATCAATTTCCACTTAAGGTAAGGGCTGATGGCTATTCTTGACAAGACAAAGCAGCCAAAGGACAGTAGTACATGTAGCCAGCTGGAGATGCAGAAGGAAATACAGGATTCCATTTCCCATCTCATGAGGGGCTGAAATCAGCCTTTTCCACCTCCCTATGAGAAAGAGCAGCCTTGGGACAAAGAGGAGAGAGGTTGGGCATAGAGCACTACTGATAAAAGTCTTGGCCTGCAGAGACTGGACTGAATCCAAATGCAGAAGTAGTCTGGCCTAAGCAGGTGACAATTTGTAGCAGTGAGAAGGGAATGGAGGCGACCCTTTCTCAGGAGTAGCMCACATACCCAATTCTGCAGTGCTGAAGAAAAGTCAGCTTGACTTRTGTCMAWSYKGRCAGTGACAGGRTTGCTGATCTGCTTCCCACTGGACAATCTGAAGGGTCCTTGGCTGAGGTGTGCCATGAAGGAGAGAAGTGATTACTCCCCTCTCATTCCCACCAAAAGACATGGGTACCTTGTGCCAATTCCTTCCCTATCCATGAGGTTGTAAGACTTAAATGTTACTATGCAAGATACAAGAAAATAGTAAGGGTAAAGAAGTCTACAAGATGGTGAGCTTTGGGTCCTGTCCTCATACAGTAATAAATATAATCCCTTGTATTTTACAGTGTTTTGTGGCATCTTTTCACTCAGTTGGAACAGTCTTGGGTATTTTTAAGTCAAGGCATATRACTCMTTCTGTGAGATTATTCAGGTTTTTRCAAGYAGAAATTATTTTAGAAATAAAGTATCACTTTCTCTTACAAGTAATATCAAATATTACTATMTATGAAAAAAAAGAATAATGAATTCAATGTTTTCAGTGTAATTTCTCACCTGACTCAATACACTCAGTATCCTCTCCTACTTATTAGCCAGTCTGTGGCTCCTTCCCTAGCACTGCAGAAGGGGGAAAAAACATTCCAAACCACTGTGCTTTAAGGAAGACTACCTGCTTAACAACAGAAAAAATAAAATCCAAACCTATGCAGCCCCACAGCTTTGTGTATTTTTTATGATCATGCTCTTGAAGCTACAATTCTTATTTGAAACATACACACATGCATATTAATATTCCCTTTGAGACACATCACTTTCTTGTAATATGTCCAAATAGCTAGAAGAAAAAGATTGCAAAATATGAAGCAGTTGGAAGCTTACACAAAGAAAAGCAGCACTTAAAAGACCRATCAATTTTTGTGTCTGTGTGTGACAATCAGCACCCTGGCAAAACCACTCTGTTTACTCCCTCAATAGAGTCATCTTCCTCCCCTATAAAATATCCCCTATTAAATTAATTTCACTTGAAAAAGGTTTACTCAGATGCGCCAAGTTATTTTCACACAAGTAAAAATCCAGTCAAGTCACAGACTGGAGTTACAGATGAGGACAAGTGATTGTAAGGCAGGAAAAAAAAAAAAAAGGAGGAGAAAACAAAAAGGGGAAAAAAACCCCATCAATTTTTACTTTATTCCTCCAGTTACATTTTCTTGGACCTGACCTGCAATGAAGAGCTGCAAGGAGCTGTATAAAATTATCAGGCACCTAAAAAGGGCAACAGACTGCATAGAAACAGTAGAAACAGCACAGTTAGCTCTGGTTCTGTAAGCAGGAAACTCAAGTTCTACACCATGTGTGGAACTGCATCAGACACTGCTGGGAAGATGGGAAAAAACACACTAGATACTTTCTTGGAACAAGAGATTGGGCTTTGGTCCTTCTTCTAAGTACCAGTGTAATACCCTTTTTGTRCTTGTTACACATCCCATTTCTTTACAGCTTTTGGCTGAAGATTAACAAAGCTTTAAAAAGTAAAATTAGAGGGAAGTTTGGCTAAAGTTTAACTAAAGTTTTAACTTTAGTTGAGGATCCAAACCACTCTGACTACAGGCTGTTTCTCCTTTTTTGAAGCCCAAGTGACACCATCACAGAGCAATTCATAGGAATCAGTTCCAACCTTCCTGCAGTCCCTCACTCCTTAACATCAGAGATTTTTCAGTTGGAAGCGAGGCAGTGAAGCCACCCGGTGTCGGCAGGGAACATAGCAATCGATCAAAGGCTGGCTCCAGAGAAGCCAGAGCTTAATCGCCCGCTCTTGAACAGCCAGCCTGCAGTGGGACAAGAGGTGCTTACCGGCTAACCTGGAGATCGACCTGAGAGCTGGGAGWGCTGAAGAAGCTTGCTTTTATCCTAAGATAAACACACAATACTACAGCCTTTCTCCCTGCTTCCAAAGGTGTGATCCTACAAGGTGCAGTGCTCTCAACACCTTCAGTAGAGGGGTAGCTGTAAGTGCCTCTTGCTTTATAGGAGCAGGCCTTAGCTGCCAGGTCGATAGTCCCAAGAGACACCAAGTATCTGACTATGGGGAGTTTATTAATGACAAGTTTTTGGAACTTCTCCATACACTGTAACATAGATAATTTCCTGCCAGTTACCCCAAGAGAACCTTCAAGTCATCTTTAAGTAGTATCAATTGATGCTCCGCTTCTCCAAGCATGAGTTGTATAGATCTGTATATCAAACAGCTTCAACGACCACAAACTCGTGTTTCCAAGCCTACACTAAAGCCAAGCTGATACAATGGTATTTAATAACCCTGCCGGGGAGGGAACTGCCTTGTAGGATGTGTGAAGGTGTCAGCTACAGATGTGCAGTGCTGGGTAAAAGCTCAGGGAGAGCTCCTTGCCTGAACCCAGCATGGCCAAAAGGAAGGAGTGATTTTCTTTTTTTTTTTTTTTTTTTTTTTTTTAAAACTGCCAGAAGCTTGTCCCATAAATCCAGCTGAGCACCTGGAATTATAGCATGGTTTGGGTTGGAAGGAACCTTAAAGATCTTCTAGTTCCAACCCCACGCCATGGGCAGGGATACCTTGCACTAGATCAGGTTGCTCAGAGCCCCATCCAGCCTGGTCTTGAACATTGCCAGGGATGGGACATTCATAACTTCTCTGGGCAGCCTGTTCCAGTGGTCACAGTAAAGAATTTATTGCTACTTTACGTTTCAAAGTCTGTAGTACTTTACACGCAGGGCCATGGGTCATGGCTGGCAGCCTGGTAGGTTAAGCCCTGTCAGATAACCCCGCAGCAGTGGGACTACCACAAACACTCCTTCTGCTGCAGACAGCCCTGGCAACTGGGTCAGAATCACAGGATAGTCAGGGTTGGAAGGGACCTCCTGAGATCATCTGTCCAAGCCCCCTGCCAAGGCAGAGTCACCTCGAGCAGGTGACACGGAAGTGCGTCCAGGAGGGTTTGGAATGTCTCCAGAGACTCCACGGCCTCCCTGGACACCCTGCTCCAGTGCTCTGCCACCCTCAATGCAAAGTTCTTCCTCACGTCGAGGTGAAACTTCTCGCGTTTTAGTTTATGTATGTCCACCACTCCTTGTCCTGTCACTGGGCACCACGGTAAAGAACCCGGCACCATCTCTTGACGAGGTCCCCCCACGCCAGATCCGTGCTGGGGCCTCTCCCGTGGGAGAGACGGACGGACGGGCTGCAGCACCTGACCCCACGCAGCCGCGGGGACACGCGGCTCCTCGGGGACACTCGGACTCCCTGGAGGACATTCGGGCTCCCTGGGGGACACTCGGGCTCCCTGGGGGACACTCGGGCTCCCTGGGGGACGTTCGGGCTCCCTGGGGGACAATCGAGCTCCCTGAGGTACAATCGGGCTCCCTGGGGTACACTCGGGCTCCTTGGGGGCCACTCGGGCTCTCTGGGGTACAATCGGGCTCCCTGGGGTACAATCGGGATCCCTGGGGGACACTCGGGCTCCCTGTGGGACACTCGGACTCTCTGGGGGACACTCGGGCTCCCTGTGGGACAATCGGGCTCCCTGGGGTACAATCGGGCTCCCTGAGGGACACTCGGGCTCCCCGCCCCCGCCGCCCCCCGCACGCACCTGCAGGCGCGCCAGGGCGCAGAGCGTGGCCGAGGGGTTGCGCAGCAGCAGCCGCTGCCGCAGCAGGTTGCTGCCGTACGCGTAGTACAGGAACCAGCAGCCGCTCTCGCCACCCGGCTCCATCGGCCCGGCCCGGCCCGGCCCCGCCGCCGCTTTAACACCGCCCTCCCGCCCCGCCTTCCCCCGCGCTTCCGCCGCCGAGGGGAGCCGGCGCCGAGCGGGGCCGTGACGCAGGAGCGGCGGGAGCGCTGTGGGACGCGTGAGGCGGGATCCGGCGGGGCAGCGCCGGGGGCGAGGATCCAGCCGGGGGCGAGGATCCAGCCGGGGGCGAGGATCCAGTCGGGGGCGAGGATCCAGCCGGGAGCAGGGATCCAGCCGGGAGCAGGGACAGCGCTGTCCCGGGGTCCCCGCCGCTGGCAGGACTGTGGGGCCCAGGAGCTTCTCCGTCCAGCCGGGAGCAGGGACAGCGCTGGCCCGGGATCCCCGCCGCTGGCAGGGCTGTGGGGCCCAGGAGCTTCTCCGTCCAGCCGGGAGCAGGGACAGCGCTGGGCCGGGATCCCCGCCGCTGGCAGGGCTGTGGGGCCCAGGCGCGCAAACCCAGCCCTGCGATCAGGGCCTCCCCGTTCGCCAAGCATCTCACTTAGCTCGTAGCATTTAAGCATCAGGTGGAGCAGCATGGAAAAGAACACAGGTTTTAGGAGAAAACACTCACCATGCTCAAAATCTGCATGCTTTTTTTGAATGAAAAATCACTGCAGCTGTTGAAACTCTTGAGTGTTGAGAAAAAAAAATAGCTTATTTGTTTATTTATTTATTTATTTATTTATTTATTTATTTATTTTTGTGTTAAATATTGGAAGTTTCAGTAATTTAAAAAGTGTTAAGAAAAGCTGGTTGGGTTGTTTTTTTTTTTTAAGAATGTAATTTTGATGCGGAAGAATAACAATTGCTATGACCTTCATTATAATCCCTGTATTAAGATTTTCTGTTCAGAAGGAAATGTCTACCTCAGCTCACGAGGGGCAGGTCACAGCAAGGCCAAACAGGTAGCACAGCACACATTAACACCTGGAAAATCTGGAAAACCTGCCCATTCCTGCATGTCGGCTGCTYCCCGAGGGCCATCCTCAGTGGGAAGAAACAGGCTGTCAGCGAGCAGGGCCYGCAGCCCCTGGTACCGAAATGAGCATCCTGGCCACCTCTGAGATAAACAGCGACAATTTGTAAATACATTCAGTGAGAAGCAAAGTAGAGCAGCTTTTCCCAGCTGGGAGCGTTCAGAGTAAGCTGGCAATGTGCAAGAGTGAAAGGCGAGAAGGTGCTGGCGTGTGGGCAGGCAGAGCTGCACACCCTGCGCAGAGGCACTTCCTCTCCTTTCATGACAAAAGCAATGCTCGAATGGGACAGGAGGAGCCCTTATTGCTGGCTGCTGAAGCGATGCATGTATAACGCAACCATGAAAGGCTGTAAAGAGCAACAGTGTAACAATTAATGGTGAGACACCACTCATTATTGGTCTGAGTAGCCCAGAGTAGCAGTCAAAGTAGCCCTCAGTGCGAGTTAGCTTCCTGGGCGGAGGCAGCTGCTGCAGGATTTAGCAGGATTCCGCAGCACAGTGCCTGGCCTCTCCATGCAAGATAGAAGGAAAGAAGCTCCTTYCTTTACTGATGTGTGCAGCACTTCATTCGAGTCCCTGCTTTAGTCTTCCCAACACAGGCATTGGGAAAGACAGATTCATCGTAAAGCACAAAAAGGGCTGAAAGTGATTCTGATCCTTCCTGACTAGTCGCTTTCTATTTTTAGGGATTATTTTTCTTGTGTRGGAACTAAGTATTGCAAAGTGAGARGGAYCACAGAGGTCATAGGATTATCTAGCAGGACTTCCTCACTCTCAGTCCTTACAACAACCAGTATCCAAGCYTGTCTTTTGGAAACCTGCTTCTGGTGTATGCTTTTAGTCCATTTTCCCTAAKGACATGCAAACTCCATGAGAAGTGTCACTCATCTTCCATCAGCTTCTAGACTGTTGCTTAATTTCAACCAGAAAGCAAGAGGTTTCAAAGATAACTAGGTTTTTGCTGGTCTCAAGAAAAGAAACTGAGTACAACTATGAGACAGCAAGGATCCCATGAGGGAGGCTTCCAGAGGGGCCTGTAAAGCCCCAGGTACTAAGCATGCTGATGGACAGGATTTCCAGCCTTGATGCGTGCTGCACTACATGTTTAGGCTTTATATGAGCTGTCCCTTGTGAGCTGAGGTGGACAYTTCTTTCTAAATAGAAGAATTGCAATGAAGCATGTAACAGTTGTTACTCTTTAATCTCAAAATTACTTTCTAAAAAAAACCCAACCAGCCTTTCATAACACTTTTTAAATTATTGAAACTTTTGACATTCTGTTAAAAAAAAAGCCATTCTTTTTCTCAACATTCAGAGTTTCAACAATTGTGATGATTTTTCATTCAAAAAGCATGTTGATTTTGAACAAGCTGCAAGTTTTTTCCTAAAGCTTGTGTTCTTTCCCATGTTCTTTCCCAGTCGAGATTTTAATGTTATAAGCTGAGTCAGATGATTGATAAATGAGGACATCAAGCCCCTGATCTCATGGCTAGGTTTGTACATCTGAAAACCTTTGTTAGCAAAGGCAGCTAGCAAAATTACAGTCACATTTATAGAAGGAGAATCAGTTTACAACACTGCCACCTGCAATCCTAAGTATTTAATCTTTCAAAAAGGTCTTTTCAAACTGAACCTCTGTTGAGGTTTCCATTTTCTGCAGTCTGTAGTGAATACCWAGCCTATTCTCTGACCAAAGAACAGGAGCCATCATTTCTAGGAGCGTGGTTTTGATATGCTTGGTGTCTGGATGTAGCATGATGCTAACTCCAATTTTATTTGAACTGCCCAGGTAAACCCTAGATTTATGGTGATTATTTTTAAATGAAGTTGATTCAATCAATTTGAATTTCTGAAGTCCATTTCTTCCCCATCTGGCCAGTCTGATGACAAGTCAGCACGGGAGGAAGTCAATTTGCTCTGGAGTGAAAGCTTTGCAAGTCTTTCTGCTGATGTATGTCCAAATTATGACTAAATGGCTGTGTGTGCACAGGGAAATTCTTGGGCACTATGGGCACACCTTGCTTGGAAACCAAGTTTACAACAGAAAAGGCAGGGACGAAGACCTTTCCTGTAGCAATTTGTGTAAAAACCTGCCAGGCTTTGATGCTGCTGCCAGATTTTACTCTTCTGCTGCTTCATGACCTTTTCAGATGAAAATTAACTAAAATTAACTCTCCAAGAGAGGAGCGTGTTAAATGAAATCCTGGGGKTTTTTTTGTTTTTTTTTTTAGTTAAATCAGTTCTAGGTGATCTCCAGAGCAGCTGACATGAGATCTGTTTGAAGCCCCAAACAATTTGGAACCATTGTTCCCCCTTGCATGTCGCTACAAAACCTGCGCAGCGTAAGCAGTCAGGAGCACACCTCCTGTTTGGGACCTTCCCAAACATGGGCGAAAAGTCTGGATATCCACAGCTATTTGTKCATTGTCTGTGGAGGAGACCAACAGGTTTATTTATGCAAAGAAAGCAGGAATTTGTTTCCATCAGGTTTTTACACCTATGTGTAATATATTCCTAAGCATATCCTATTAGGTTTTTAGTGGGGAGTAAAAGGAAATTGGGAAAAAGGAGCTAGGGGAAAAATGAGATGGAGTGGGGTAAGTTAAACCTGCTGAAATGTCTGCCAGTCACTCAATGACCTCCCCATCACTCCCTTTACACCCCATGGTTGTCACAGCATGAGTCATAATTGATATTGAAGAAAGAAAATAGAACCTGGAGGATAATAAGGACAACTGATGCAAATGAACTGCATGTGCAGTCCTCCCCACAGCTTTTCACTCCTCCCTGAGGAGCCCAAGTAGGATGTGCTCTGCAATTAGTATTTCATCAAAATGATACCTTTTTGCTGCAGGATGGTTACAGCTTGTGGTAGCTGTACCAGTTTTAATACAGTGTGCAAGGTCTGKGGGTCTGCAGAGATTTCATGTTCATGCAAATGAATGCAAATGATTTTACAAGGTGTCATGATGTTGCTGTGCTTGTTCCTTCCCGACAAGACAGGGACCACGCTGTCCTGCAGAAACCCAGTCTCCTTCCCTGCCCTCCCTGACAGAATAGCCACCAACCCATGAGTCTTGTGGCTCAGCACCACTGRCAACCAGAAGGAATATCCATCATTCATTTTGCAATTCTGTTTTCATGTGTTTCCTCAAATAGTGCAGTCATTTATGAGATGAACTATTAAAATGGCTGGGTCTGTGCATNTTTATGAGATGAACTATTAAAATGGCTGGGTCTGTGCATATATCCACCTGACTTTTTTTTTTTTTTTTGGTTCTGCCCATTGCCAATGTGAGTTTTGGGCCAACAGATCCCAGTGATGCAGTCCCAGCATGCAGCTGRCTTTAGTCACTTTGGCTTGTGAGGKCATCTGCTCTGCTTACAGACATAGAGGTACTTGCCTGTGTGACTTCAGCAACTGGTTAATAAATCCTGCCAAATATGTCTTGTTTCAAAAAAATAATGCTGCATTGTACTGCAGAGACTGTACCTGGCACATAATGTTTTTATCTTACATATGAATGTATAATAGGAACAACTTAATAGTGGGAACAACGAGAAAAATCCCTGTAAGTCAGAAAAAGAAGTTGACCCTGATTGTTTCTGTGGAAGTACATTCCAAATCTGTCTTTTATCCTAGGACCTAGTGTTTACCTTTCCTTATTGTAAAGCTCTTTTGAATGATAAGAGTTCTCTACTGATGCAACACAAATGRTTGCAGGAAATTTTCTCAAAATAGTTTTCCTTGGTACTGAAATCCCTTAGTTTGCTGTGTCAAGAGGATTTTCCAGTGTGATGTTTCTGTGTCCTGTTGTCTCAATGTGCATTATCTTCTCCCACAACAGAAGAGATGGCCCCTTCCAGAGGAGCAGTTCACATTGTCTCTGGCAGGAACTCATGTCTCACCTAACACCAAAAAGGTTTTCTCTCAAGTCTGTCAAGTACTTGAGCCTTTTTTTTTCTATGAAAGTGATGACTATCAAATGCAGACCAGCAGATGAAAGGGCTGTATCCTGCTGTCT